TTAGATTTCTTTTCCCATTCTCAAGATTTGATATTAAAATGGTAATGATGATATAAAAAAAGGTAATGATTCTCATCTGAGATTATAATTATTGTTATCAGTCTTGTCAAAAAAAATAGTGCATGCCTTGGGTGTTCATAAAATGGAGTATTCGACATGATAACAAAAAAATGAACATGGCAAATGAGTGAGAAATCATGTTTAACAAAGCAAGAGAAAAAAAAAATTTGTAAGCAGCCACACATTACTTTCTTACTGAACCCGGGGGATGCGTAAAAAAAATTCAAATCCAACCCTTGAAAGAAAAAGGATTACTTGGATGAAGAAAAAAAAAAAGTAGCGTGCCAAACTAGACTAACAGTCTTTATAAGTATTTTTTCCGACAAAAAAATTCAAACATGTCTCGTACAGCACGGTCGATGGCTGATTGTTTGTTTAGAAAAAAATTTGAGGCCTCCAAGGAAGGACATTGGGTCCTTTGAAAATTTGCAAAAAAAAAAACAAGTTTTCAAACTGGAGGTTCTGCTTATTTTATGTCACTTGTTGATAGATTTTTCACTCAGTGAAACAATCAAAGTAGGTCCTGGTACATTAGGTGGGGCTTAAAAAAACACAACAGGCCTTAACTGATAAGAAAAGTTGACCTTATTAATGATTGAAAAAAAATTCATTCATTCATCAATCTGACAGAGTGGCCTGAAAGTGAGATGACATAAAAAAAGCTGATTGACAGTATCAAACACACTCAAATTTATTTGTAATTATACACGTGTGGTGGCTTTGTTAGGGCTGGAAATCCTTGTTAAACACTGCCATTTATATAGAAAAAAATTTACTTAATTAAAAATGTTTTTTTTTACCTGTTTTGATTTGTAGCAAAAAAAAATTGAAACAAGCAAGTGGAACATTATTTACTCCCAACTGGCCTTTGACTAAAAAAAAAAACGCTGAGTGTACATGGAATTTTTCAATTCCATCAGGGAAGGAAAAAAAAAAGTTTTATACAAGCTTTAAATTGGGAGGAAATCCTTCTTGCAATAAAAAAAAAAAAAACGACGAGGATGAGTTACGCATCACTGGTAGGTGTGCTATATTAATGAAAAAAATAGTGTAACATGTTTCACTGCACTGCCAGTTTAATTCAAAAGTTTGCTAAAAAAAAAATCTTGAAAGTCTATTTGAAGCTAGAGATATGATCAATTTATTACAAAAAAAATATTTTTGGTCTGAACAGATGGGTTCATGACCAAGCGTGAGGTCAAGAAAAAAAAATATTGGCTGAGTTCTTTTTTTTATGTTTTTATGGACGGAGATAAAGTAAAAAAATATAAAAGTGTACCAGATTTTGTCAATGCAAGTTACCCTGGCATTAATAAAAAAATAGTTGTGTTCCATTGGCAACTTACTTTTTGTCTCCTGATGACTTTTAAAAAAAAAATTCTGCTTATGAAAGCTTTGAAGAGCTGGGCACCCTTAATTTCGTGAAAAAAAGCATTTGGACATCCTGCAACAAGGTTCCTCTAGCTACAGTGTACAGCCTTACAAAAGTGAAGCCAAGACCTCTCACTCTTCGTCAACATTTTCTAACTTAAAAAAAAAAAGAAAACCAAGAAAGGGTATGGTACTCTTTCATTAATTGTGTCCTATGTAAAAAAATGTTGGTACAAACACGACAGGCCAAGAGATATACATTGAGAAAAGGATAAAAAAACAATAATCTCATTCTTTTAGGTCCTATTTCACATTAAAACAAATGAAGAAAAAAAAAGTCAAATTTGCATCAGAGGGTACCACACAAACCAAATCCGATGAGAGTGGAGTTGTTGTTAATTATGCAAGTTACAGAACAGGTACATTGTATAAACCTTTGCACCACACCACCAGTGTGTATATTTTCCACACTTCTCCGTATCTTTCCTATAATAAAAAAAGGAAGATTATGTTTTAACAATCAATAATTTTTTGGACCAGTGATCATTAAAAAAATTTATGAAAAACTAAATGATAGTTACCCATAGGAATTGAAGAGCCGAAAAAAAAATAAAGATAGTCCTTAAACTGAGCATGAGCAGTGTTGACCCTTAAGTCTAAAAAAAGCTCTGTTTACTCTGGGATGAATGTGGTAATGTTTGCTTTGGTAATTAAAAAAAATTGTTCAGTACCAAGTAGAAATAATTGTTTATCTTATTGTTGCAGGATAAAAAAATCTGTTTTGTTATCCAAAGTTTTCACATTTTTTGTATATTTTTAAATACAAAGAGTTTTCTGTAGTACAATATGTCAGTTAGATCTGCTTTTGGAATGTCTGATTTTAATTTATATATTTTTGTCATAAATCGATGACGGAATTAACCTGAATCACAGAAAAAAATTTTATTTTGGGTATCTACATGTCTTCTTGTGTCCTAATGGAATTTTTAAAAAAATTTTTTTGTTTACAGAGTCACATGTATTTCTTCAGAAAGTGTTTGTTTAAAAAAAGAAGGTTCACCTCTTTGTTTCTGTCAATTGCAGGAAAAAGGTCTTTCAAAAAAAAACAATCTTTTTAATTTTTGCATGTTTTAGAGTGGATGAAATGTTGAATAAAAAAATTTGAAGAGGTTTGTTAGAATTAACCTGTTCTTTTTTTTTCCTTGCTCAAAAAAAATCGTCATTATTGGGGTAAGAAATTTCCTTTTATCAAAGTTAAATAAGAAAAAAAATCGTAAAGGAAGATTTTGCAATTTTATTTTTGAGATTTGATTGTTTGAAAAAAATAGAGTATTTGGTTTCTTGAATTCTTTCATTTGTCTTCAAACGACTGGAAAAAAAGTTAGTACCTATCAGTTTGGCACCAACTAATTGTAGTTTAGGAGTTTGTGATTAAGGGGAGCTAGCTCACATGTACACCTACAGGAAAAATCTTCATATTTTTGTCCTGTAGTAACTTTTTAAAAATTATTTTTATATTTTTTGGTAGATGCCAAAGCCATCCAACAGTTAAACCTTCAACAGTTCATGAGTCAACAGCAGGTGAAAATAATTTAAAAGGTTAGTCATCTCAGAAAAATAAAACACTCTGACTTGTAGCTGCCACAGTTTCCCCCCAAATTTTATTGTATAATAATACATTAATCAATTTGAAGCTTGAATGAAACTCATCTTCTGAAGTTCAAATGCCGGGGGGTGGGTGTTGGGAAGGGGGGAGGGATGTTGAAGCTTCATATTGATATTTGCATTATCTCTTTTTTAGGGCTGAACTGAAAAAGCCCTCCATTTTACAGTGTGGATATTTTTTGGAAGAATGTAATCAGCAATAAAAATACTGTTTTATAAATTGGAAATTAATGATTAAGACATAATGTTGGTTTTTTTTTACAAAATCTAACAGTTCTTTCGTTGAATGTCAACTACCAGTATGTCAACTCTTCATTTGACACCTCACCTCCCATGTAGAAATGAATATATCTTATTAACCAAGCGCGAGGGCCGTACTGGGAGAATATCGGCCCAAGGTCTTGACAGTACGGACTGAGCGTAGCGAGGTCCTTACAAAAAAGACCGAGGGCCGATATTCTTCCAGTACGGGCCCAAGCAAGCTTGGTTAATAAGAGATTTATTATACAACTGAAGTTCAAAGGGACACAATTGTGGTATCATTCGGGACCATTC